TCACATAGGAATGAGTGAAGAATTGCGCTCACCGAATATTTTGTTCCATATTTTCCAAACTCAACTGGCTTGGGGTATCAAGCATAGATTTTCTGATGGCGTCATCATGGGTTGCTAGTCGAGAAAGTGTAACAGCAGGTAGTCGCTTGATATTGAACCTAGAGAAAGTTATTCTAAAGTCTGGACAAGAAGATAAGAGATTCAATTTACTTCTCGTGTTCCCATGCAGATGGCTGATTTACGCTGATTTTCTTTGTGACCAGTTCAACACTTTGATTTGGTGCTGCATGACGAAGGCGACGTAGTAATCGATCTGTATAAAAAGTACTGATGTGCGTAAAAAATGGGCGTAAGTCCGAAAATTGTAAACAAGAGTCTGTAACAAGGAAATCTCAAGGATCTTTGAACGTGATCCGTAGAAAATGAAAATTTATGTAGCGAATTTACCTGCGGCAGACCCGTCAGCTGGCTGCTTGGAAGCGTGCATTCTTAGGGATCCAGCTCCTCCCAAAGCCTCGACGCATATAGCAAGTTCAAGATGATGATCATCTGGGAAGGGGTAGACATAAGCACTCAAAAATTAACTGATAAGAGAATAATCTAAACATACCAGCGCTTTGGAAGTCCTCTATGAATTGTCTTGCGCCCTGGTAGTTATATTTACCTGCAGCAGTCCACACAAATACCTGCAAATCATCCTTTTTTTTCCCAAAAAAACACTTGTAGTAGCTTTAGCTCACTAGATTAAAGGGCGGTCTTGTGGCTGGTTTCTCGTAGAGTTTTCTGAATATCGCTAACAATTCTAGTAAAACAACAACTCCACTTCCATTCGAATCCGCGCCTACGGCAGCACCCTAGAAAACGCAGAAGTTGAACCAGAAGTGTGGCATGTTGAGTGTAAGCTTACAGGAAAAGCTGCATGCGAATCATAGTGGGCAACAAAAGCAATCGTAGGGGCTGAGCGATCACTACTTCTCAGACGGCCCTAGAAAATTGACAAACATCATTTCATCGAGTATATAATGGGGACATCGAAATCTGGAAAACAGCATATGAACAAAGTTCTAAGATTTGTGACTTACAATGATGTTGTTCGGCTTGTATGTGAGTGCATTGGAAGAGTGAGAGCCGGTAGAGGTAAACTGAATATACAATATTTTGATGTAGTTTGCATAGAACAATGCGAATCATGCAAATTACACGAAAACTGACTCAGTAAAACTATAATAAATCAAACTGGAAAAAAACTGAATTAAAAGACCTGAAACGTGTTGGCAGCAATAGAGTTGAAAAGCTGCTGAGTCGCGGATTTTGTAGTAGCCGATGAAGACTGCACATCACTGAGAATGGCAGTGGCTTCCGGTGAAGAGCGCGTTACATAGACAGCCATTTCTGTACGAGCTGTGGCTAACTTACGCTCCAGCTCGGAAAACAGCTGTAAAGCAGATTCCACTCAGTTCTCACATTTAAACAGTCAATGCTATCACAGACCGTTTTGTCAGCTGGTGACAAAGCATCCAGATCAGATGGTATGATCACCAGTAGTGCACCAACACTGGTAGCCAATAGATCGTCCAGATTTGTGTAGCCAGTCAAGTCTCGCCAAGATGTGACAACACATCTAAAAAGGGAAAAAAGTGAAACATTGGCAGTCAAAAGTTGATATTGAAGAACTTCATACCTTCTTAATGCTTTCGATGTTAACGAAACGGCTTCATACTGGACTCGAAAGGTTTTGCTACCAATTATATTTCCATTCAATTCGTACTGTTGTAAACGGAAAGCTTGAAATTCGAGTTCGACTTTATCACCGAGCTGTTGACTGCCACTGACCTGAGACAACTACAAAAATCAGAAATACATAAAGAGACCGTAAGTAATCTCTAGAGCTGTCAGAAATCCAAAGGAAGAAAGAATAATATTATTAGATGCTGGAAAAAATGACTTCATAAAAGGCAATGGTATGGGAGGAATTCTGAACTTGGCGGACATCAGGCAGGAGGCAGCAAAGGCTAGCCGCTTTTGCTTTTG